ATTAATAAATCTAGAGAGGAGCTGAGGAACATGATGGAATCCCAACATAAGAAACAAATGGAATCCATAAAACAGATGCAAATAGATTTCCAGGACATGAAAAACTCCAGATTTGGCATAGACAAGTAACCGGGTTTGACTAGGGGCGGGCAGAAGGGAGCAGCAAATCGAAGACATGAGTGCATGTTCAAGGCCGGGTCTCCCTCCAGGGTAGCAGATCCAGGGCAGATGGGAGAGAGCTTCCGAATCTCAAGCTCAGTTGTGTTCATTCCTCCCCAGGAGGCTCAGAGCCGCTAGGTGAGCAGGCTGGGAGCTGTGGAACATCTCCCCCTGCCCTGTGCTTTTCTTCATCATTTGCTTTGAAGACCAGGCTGCTAGTGGCTTGGGCTGGAGAGGGACAGGTTTTCCATAAACAACCAGGCCGCCCCTCAGCTGCTGCCCCCTTTTTGTGCTTCAAAGGTCATGGGCTCCATAGGTCATGACAAAAAAACCCTCTACCCGACCCCTGCAGGGCTGTGTCCTCACTACAGACACAGGGCTCATTGTCCCCTTGCCGTTCCCACCCTCGGCCCGTGGGGGCAGGGCTAGCTGGAGCCATCAGAGGAGGAGGAAACCACAGTGAGCGGATGACCAACGGGTACCCCTGGAATATGTCCCCCAGGCGTGGAACGGGGCCAGCTGAGGCGTCAGGCCCACGGGGGACCCTCCCAAGACGTCCTGTGAGAACATAGGAGGCGCTTGGCCTTCAGGATGGAGGAAGGGCAGTGACAGGAAAAGCCTTGGAGGGCTGAGGATGGGGAAGGGGTGGAAGCAAGGGGGGAGCCTGCAGGCCTGCACTCCAGGCCTCTAGCCTCCCTCCAGCCTCGAGAGGTGCCACCCGCTCACCTGGTCTCCATTCGAGTTGAGGATCCGGAATCTGACTTAGTCATGGGGGGCCGATGAGCAAGCGGGGCACTACTCCCCATCTGCTGCAGAGCCCGCTGCAAATCTGCAGCAGGTACTCACTCGGAGCTGGGGAGCTGTGGGGTGAGATGCACCACGACACGGAGGGGGCCATCTGGGAAAGGGGGCTCGGGGGCTCTGATGCGAGCCCTTAAGCTACCGGGCATTTGCTGTGCTGGGCCTCGTATGTAATTGTCATATTTCATCCTCACAAGGAAACCGGGATACAGAGAGCATCACATCCCCGGTTCACAGATGATGGAGCCAAGGCTCAGAGAGCCTGAGTGACTTGCCAAGTTAGCAAGTGGTAGAGCGGGCACTCAGACAAACACTGAGGCCTCTGCTGTGGTCAGACCTACCTAAGAGGCCGCTGCCTGGGTGGCCAGGGGAGGGGCGGTGTCGCTGATGACCCTGCAGGAGACTCCCACGCCCTACAGTGGCATGGGGAGGGCCTCGTCCTTCCAGCCTCTGGCTCCTCCAACTCCCATTCCCCCTTCCCACTGAAGCCTCCTCCTGGAGGCGAGCACCACCCCCACCAACCACAGCCCAGCTGGCCCCCATTAGGGGCCATTGCCTGCCTGCTTGCCCAGCAGGCGCATGTGTGAGAGTGCTCAGGTTTCTCGGGCTTCTCTGGGGTCTGGTGGGGACAGAGTCTTGCTGCTGCTGCTGCTGCTGCTGCTGCTGCTGCTGCTGCTGCTGCTGCTGCTGCTGCTGCTGCCACCTTGATGGGGGCCCACCTGGGTGGCAAGACCCTACCCTTTGTGGATGGGGGAAATGGGAGGGTTCCCACTCCACTTTGGCCTGCCCATTCCCCAAGCTCTGACCCTGCAGAAAGTGGGACAGTTAGGGCAGAGTCCCCCGGGCTCCACTGTGCCCGTTCTGGAGGCTGCCTGAGGCCACATCCAGCTCTTTCCCACTAGGATGAGCATCCTTTCCTTCTCACCTAGGCTTCCTGTCCACACTATAGAGGCTCACAAGTCACCCCCAGGGCAAGGCTGGGGCCTACCCTGTGGCCTGAACTTGAGCCTTACCCTAAAGTCAGGCTGCTCTGGCTTCCAGCCCAGTTTGTCACAGGAGTCACCGTGGCCTTCCCCACTGGGCCAGCGAGTGCAGCCATGTACGTGCAGTTATGTGTTTGGAGGTGGCTGCTTACTGTGTATGTGTTGGCCTTACACGTGTGTGTGTCTTTAAACACACGTGTGTGTGTGTGTGCATGTCCCTGTTCACGTTATGGGTGTGCTTGTGTGCCTGCAAACTGGGCTAGCACAATACTGGACCCTGAAGGGAGGGACAGAGACCCTCAGAGCAGAGACAGCCAGCTGGCATCCACCAAGGCCTGGGACAGCGGAGTGGAGGTGGAGTGGAAAGGCAAGGCCAGGTCCTCTCCCAGTGCCTGAGGCCTCACTCTCACAGGATGGCAGTCCAGTGAGCAGCAGGCGGCCCTCAGCCAGCACCATTGGGCCGGAAGACATGAGACCAAGCCTGGGATGTCCATACGGGCAGTCACCTCGTCTTCCAGTCCCTCAGAATGGCAGCAGCAGTGAGGCCTCCCTGCCCGCACAGATGAACACCCTGCACGTGTCTCCACCCCCCAGGTAGTACAGTCTTGGCCTTTGAAGCCACACCCAGATCCCATCCTAATTCCTCATCCCTCTGATCTCACCTGGTCCCATCCTGACCCCTGATCCCTGACCCTTGACCCTTGTCCGAACTGGCTGCGTCCTGACTCACAAAGCCTCACCAAACCCTCCAAGCTGGCGGAGTGGAGGCTGCAATGGCAGCCTGTCTCTCCTCCACATCTTTTCTTGCCCAGCGCTGATCCAGCCAGAGGCCTCCCACGCAGCCTCGACTGCAGAGTGGACCTGGGCTCGGAGGTGTACAGGATGCTTAGGGATCCTGGAGAGCCGTCGACTGTGGAGCCCAAGCAGTCAGGCTCCTTCCGCTACTTGCAGGGCATGCTAGAGGCCGGCGAGGGCGGTAAGACTCCCCACTCCCGAGGCGCATCCCTCCGACCTGCCAGCCCTCTGCCCCCAACTCCACTCCCCAAACTTCCCCCAGTCTCGGTGCGGATGGCCCGAGAAGCAACGCCCTGCAGAAATGGAGGTCTGACCTCCTCCCTGGGCTCATCCCACCGGTGCTTCGGTTTCAGGGGAGCGGCCTGGACCTGGCGGCCCCCGGAACCTCAAGCCCACAGCCAGCAAGCTGGGCACTCCGCTGAGCGGCCTGCAGGGACTGCCGGGGTGCACACGCTGTGGCCATGGGATCGTGTGAGTACCCCCACCCCACCTCTGTTCCAGGGCCCCTGATGGGGGCACGCAAGGGTCTGAGGGTCATCTGACTCTGTCCTCCCGGTCCCCCGTTAGGGGCACGATCGTCAAGGCCCGGGACAAGCTCTACCATCCAGAGTGCTTCATGTGCAGCGACTGCGGCCTTAACCTCAAGCAGCGTGGCTACTTTTTCCTGGACGAGCGGCTCTACTGTGAGAGCCACGCCAAGGCTCGCGTCAAGCCGCCCGAGGGCTATGACGTGGTGGCCGTGTACCCCAACGCCAAAGTGGAACTGGTCTGAGCCGCGACCGCCTGCCCCTGCCCGATTCACTTAATGCCCCGCGTGCCTGTGTAAATACATTTCCCGTTGCCTCTCTAATAAAGTGCCTTCGCTCAGCCTCGAAGTGCTCAGCGTCCTGGCCTGCCAACCTCCAGTGCGGGCCATGGTGCCCACGTGCCGTAAGGTCAGCCCAGGTGCCGGGTGTCCTAGGCGCTGGGTGCAGTGGGGAACAAGACAGGCACCAGCCTGCCCTCAAGGGACAGCGGTGTGAATACGGAGGCCTGACAGGGTGCAGTCAGTGGAGATGTTGGGACGTGATGGAGGAGGCGGGAGCTCTACGTGGTGAGAAACTACAAAGGTGAGAACGGACAGTAAGGGCCCTGTGTGGTCCCCATCAGTATGAGCAGGGTGGCCCTCAGGCCCCAGGACTGAGATCTCCCCAGGGGAGATCGCAGCGGCCATGCCCACTTCAGTCTCTGAACCCTTTTCTTTGCCCTTCTCTTTCCCTCCAGTAGAGGGCGTGCTTGATTTTTTTCCAGAGTGAGATCAGGGAGGTTTTTGAAAGAATTCTTGCCTGGGGCAGCTGGTTTCCCCAGATGCTCTGTTTTATTTCCAAATTCGAGGGAAAATTTCCCTCCCTCGTTCTTGAGGGATACCTCATTGTTCCCTCACGTTGGAGCTGCCCTGGGCCTTTCATAATGCCTGCATGTACTGATACAGACACATTTTTAAAAAATATAGTGGCCCCTCAAGTTACAACCGGCCTGACATATGAACAACTTGGGTTAATTAGATTAATGGAAGATTCATCTGTCTCTTGTTATCTATAGTGTGTACCCAGGTAAACCAAGTTGAGTTACAGCCAGCCCTCGGGAACCGATTGAGTTTGTAAGTCAAGGGTCCACTGTACGTTTATAGTATATAAATAGTAATAGAGTTGCTACATGGCTTTTCATAGCTGTGTGTCCTGGATCCTGGGTCTGGGGGATCTACTCTCTACTTTGCTGGCTCTGGGTCCCAATTTATGTAGTGAGCCTGAGAGTATGTTTTCAATTTTGTGCTGTCACAAAACAAAAGGCTGTTATCAGATCACATTCTCACTATCAGCGTACACCAGTACCTGTTTCCTCAAGCTCTTGCCAATATCCTGACATTTTCAATTTTTAAAATGTGGTAAGAAACATAGCATGCAGTTGTTTTAACTTTTCATTTCTCTGATAACTAGTGATGAGCTTTCAGCCATTCAACAAACATTTAGAGTGTGCTTGCGGGGAGAACAAAAAGACAATGTTTCTCCCTCTGAGTTGTTCCTGTGCAGATTACTCTGGGCCTTGCTCTTGTCTTTCCTAGGGTTATTTAACTTCCTATTAATGATTGGTAGGAACTTTTCACACTCTTGTAAGAGGATTTTAGGCGTCTGACCCTGTGTCGCTGTTCTTGTAACCACATCACACTGTTTTAACTGCTTCCATGTTAGAGTTTAATAGCTAATCACCCCTTGTTTGTCGTTTACAAATATGTTACTCTTGTGCATTTCCAGTTGTCAGTTTAGACTTGTATGTCAGACTGTGGAAAAACAAACCTCTTTGAACGGTGACAAGGGTTTCTCTGAATCTAGGGAGGGAGCTGGCAAGAATCTGCAACCTGTACTTACGCTGCTTTTATTCAGGTGTCATGTATGTATTATAATTTATTCTTTCCATTTTCTTCTCATAGAGTTGTTTTAGGGCTCTTTGCACAGTGCCCTCTCACTGCAGAGCAGTGGACAGGCCTCTGAGAGAAGTGAGGCCAGGAGAGCAGGCTGGGTCCTTTGAGTTGGGGCCTTGTCTTGTGGGCAGCCTTGTCCTCCCTTGCCCTTGTCGCCCTCCTGTTGATGACCAGCTGGGCTCCGGTCCCTGCCCTCCACACACACTCTAAGACTCACACTCCCTGAGCAGGGTGAGAGAGTGGAAGGGCCTACCCTTCCCCAGAAGACTTGGTCCAGGCTGCAGCAGTCGTGGGCCTGAACAAGTATATGACTAACAGCCATGGAAGCCGTTGGGCCCAGGGGTGCATGGGAAACTCCTAGAAGCTGCCCTCCCCCTGCAGACACTGGGCACCCAGCCTGAGCCTCATGGGCGGCTTGCAGCCACCAGAGCAGCCCCAGCCTGAGCATCTGGGTGGGAGGTGTGGAGGTGGGCTGAGGACAGGAGATGCGGACCAGATCTGCCCATTGCTGGCTTCCAGGCCCAGTCTCTACCCAGTGCCCTGCCCACCTCTTCTGCCAAGGGACCCTAACTGGGCCCAAGGGGTGGTGGATCATGAAAAGCTGCACAGGGTCCCTTTGGGACAGGGTCTCTCAGGCCCAGGGCCTAAGTCGGGAAAGGGACATCAGAGTCCCTCTCCGAGAAGGGGAGCCAGATTCAGGACCCCATCTCAATGCCTCCAGCCCACCTAGCCCAGAACCAGTTTCCACTGTTGTCCTCCCCAAACGTACTCCCACCCCCAGATCCTTACCTCGGGGGCCCTGGAACCAGACACCTGGACATTAGCCTCTCCCCTCCACCCCATCACCCCATCCTGCTGGTCACTGTGCCTAGAGTTCTGCCCCTGCATTTCTAAGGCTCGTTCAGGCCCTTCAGAGTGTGGGCCTAGCATTAAAGCCTTCTGAGTGCAGGCTGCTGACCGCTTTGTCTCACTTCCTCCATTATATCACATGAGTCACCATTCTCTGAGCCTTCTGCCATACATAGCCCTCAGCCCATCTGTCAAAATCAAGAGGCCCTTCTGTCTTCATCCAGCAAACTTCTACTCACTCTTCAAGGCCCAGCTCAGTCTCCACCCCAGCGCAACCCCCACCCACCTCAGCCCCAGCCCTGCACAATCAGGAGTTCCCATCCACGGCCCCTTTGCCCCACTCCTTCAATTCCTGCCAGTGCCTCTGGCCCAAGCTGTTCTCCCCTTGGTCAGAGCCCTGCCGAAACCTTCCTCTGTCCTGCCAAGACCCCGGGCCAGATCCTGGGCGAGGCAGGGCCCTGGATCCAGCACCCAGTGTCGCACACTCACTCCTGTACACACACGCACCTCCTGCCCTGCCTCCTGCTTCCCTACCCTCTGCTCCAGGTTTCTGCAAGCATCCCGCCTAACCCCCCACGGGGAAGTAAGTCCTTGAGAGCAACTGTCTCCCTCCTGCATCCTCAGCCTTAACTCTCTCATTCAATTAAATGTTTACTAAGAATGTCAAGCACTGTGCCACACACTAGGAAAACATTTCCAGTATAATCAGTGCTACCAAGGAAATAGAGAATATTACAATAGAGGACAAGGAGTTGCTTCAAATAAGGAACCTGGATAGATCTCATGGCCGAGACCCGAGGCAGAGCTGGAGCATCCTTGTGGCTGTCTAGGGGAACTGCATTCGAAGAAGCGCCCTGGTAAGGACTTGGGCTTTTACTCTGCGATGGAAAACCAGAGGAGCAGGAGTGGCGTGACCTGGACTCAGGTTTTAACCAGGATTACTCTGCCTACTGTGTGAGCAGACAGTAAGGAGCAAAGGTGGAAGCAGGGAGAGCACTTAGCAGGCATGACTGAATTTATCACTAACCAATTCCTAGCCAGCCCACTTCCTTCTGCAGCCCCCACCCAGGCCCCAGCCCAGACACTGTGACAGCTCATGCCCAGCCTCCCTGCGTCCTGCCATCCATCAGTCCTTTCTCTATGTAACAGCAAAGGGTGGTCTTTAAATGCATTACTATGTCACCGCTGGCTATTAAAGCTTCATGGCCCCTCCCTGCTCTCAGCTCAAAGTCTAAATTCCTGACCCCTGCTCACAAAGACCTGTGAGGTCAGCAGCCCTGCTGCTCTCTGCCCACAGTCCTGCTTCAGCTGAGCTGTAAGTTCAGTATCAAGACCTCCTCCAGCCTCCTCCAGATTTCCTTGACCCTCCAAGGCAGTTCAAATAAAAACAGTCCTTCCGGGCCAGGGATTTAGCTCAGTGGTTCTGCCACCTGCCCCGCAAGCGCAAGGACCCGAGTTCAATGCCCAGTACCAAAAAAAAAAATTGTAAATTCGGCCAGGGATTTAGCTCAGTGGTTTCACCACCTGCTGCACAAGCACAAGGTCCCAAGTTCTATCCTAGGTACCAAAAAAAGCCCAGTCCTTCCTTCTGGCCCAGTATGTGTCAGGCAAGCTTTATTATTCCTTGCCTTCCTCCCCAAGGACCAGAGACCAGGGCAGGAGGAGCCCAGATGCTGCTTCTCACCAGCTCTCCCTTTCCAGCCAAAGCCCAGGTCCTGGAGGGGGTCACAGCCAATGGGCAGCTGAGCTGGCGATGGGGTGCTGTGACACGCACCATGAGCCTAGGAGCCTGGGCTCTGGGCGCCACGGTCCCTCTGCCCCATCTTGGGCTCCCTTTCACTTCTAGACGCCCCTGTCTAGCTATGTGCACTCCAGTGCTGTCCTGGACAGCGCATTCCTACCCAGGGTCAGCTTCTTTCACCCTAGACCAACCACTGCTTGCTCTTCACAGCTCTATTAACTTCTTGCTTTATTCTTTCCCCACGCATTATCTGCTTTTTCAACCCTATTCCCTCAGCACCTCCAAATGGACATGGGGAGTACTAAAGGGGTCTCGGTCCTCCTGTGCCCTCCTGCTCCTCTCCGCCACAGTGGAGAGCTCTGTCTGGATTCCCACCAAAGCCAGCCCTCAGCTTTGCTAGCGTCACCCACAGATCGACTCTGGCTGTAAGGCAGAGACTGGTGATCCCAGGACAGGCTGCCTGAGGCCGTGCTGGCTCTTACATTGATACCAAGTGGGGATCCCAGAGGCTTCTTTCCAGGTAATGATGTCCTGAACAAGGAATTGGACGAGAAACACAGAAAAGGCGGCAAGGGTGTAGTTTGATTGGATGCAGAAAAGAAGTACAGGGTATGGTGGACATTTAACTTTTAAAAATTTATTATAGTAAAAGCTACATTGCCATTAATCCCCTCACTTCCAACTCACATGTCACTGTTCTCGTTTCTGCCACTTTCTGAAGCAGTTCTGGGAGTCCTCTTCTGTGAGTGTCCAGTTTCACTGTCTTGGCTGCCTCGGTGTCCTGAATTGATTTAAAACATTTACCTTTTGTGGTCATTTTGACTTTG